TTTTCTACAATAAATTGTGTAGGGTTATGCTGATTCATCACTTGAAACGTTATTCGAAAACAAAATTCAACTCATAAATCTTTCTAATATTATGAATGCGAATGTTTAGATGGATGGATGTTTGTTTGAAGGTATCTCCAGAACGGCTGAAATTTGGCATACATATATAGAAACATAGCCTAGAAGAACACAATCGGCTACTACTATGTTTTTTTAATTCCGCGCGAACAGAGTCGCGGGCAACTGCTAGTTATTACAATAATTATTAAATGTGCACGAATATCCTATAAAATATATTCGAACTCATTTTTATTATAAAATTTCAATAACATATGACAAATACAACAGTTCGATACAACAGTCGAATTATAAAAATAAATTTCAAAAAATCCAAACCTACTACTTTATATTTTAAAAGTGTATCATTTAAACTTTGCAATTGGCGCATTATCACGTTGTACGTGGATGGTATTCATCATTGTGTTTACATATTGTTTTCCAAATAAGGATAACGTGATTCAATGACGCACCTTAAGTCGAAGGAACCAGAATAAAAATGTACTTGTACTCATACAAAGGCCCAAATAAAACTTATTTCGTCCTTTATTATATTTGATTAAAGGTAACCGCACATTCATCAACGTTGAGCCTACCCGACACTGCTACGCTAACCCCGAGTGAACGCCGTGACAGCCACTATTCCGATAAATCTGTTGCGTGTCGCTAACTTGAATAAGTCATGTTCTTAATGACATAGTGTATTTTTTTGTAGTCTGGCGAGTGTACGCCACGCTCACAGTTCGCAATCAGGAAGGTGCTAGGTGGGCGAGAAGTTGATAAGTGCGCAATAACCTTTATCCTCTTTGACTTAATAATATGTTGTTTACTTATTAACAAATAAAATTAATAGATTATAGATACCCAGATTTCAACGCAAAACTTTAAAACAAAGAATCACTTATAACCATTGAGTTGTTTTGAAGCTTAAGTGTCTTGACATACAGATAATTACGTACTCTCTTTGGTATTTTTATGTGTTGTTTTGATACTGAGTTGTTATTCAACTTTACTTTCCAGACGATCAGATAACTGCGTACTCACAAGACTATTTATAAGTGTCTTATTGTTATTCGAATCATTCGGTTACAGGACATCAATCAGTTCAGACCAAACAATATTAACCAATCTTTACCAAACATTAATTATGAAACTGTTTATTGTAATCGCTCTGGCTGTAGTGAGCCAATGTGAAGGTGGGCTGACGAAATGTGAAATGATAGAAGAACTAATTAAACGTGGAATCCCGCGGGACGCAATGAAGGGCTGTAAGTGTACGATTTATTTCAACAAGAGAGATTGTATTGGTAAAGAAAATAATTACGATACCGCGACATAATTTAATTGCAACACGAAGCGTAGATGGATAACAATTGAATAAAGGAAAGTGGAAAGGAACTGATACTTTGTCAGCCGAAACGCAGAAATATTTCTTACCTTTCATACCCTCATTCTAATTCATGACAGTTAATTTAAAGCCTTTGAATTTATTTACTCATGTTTTTCATTTCGTATTTATATGACGTGCTTGTTTTAACGTTCAGTTTATTAATTCTATCAAACATTTCCAGGGGATTGTTTCGTGGATAGTGGGACTTCACAGCAAACTGATATCATCTTCAAGCCCAACGCCGATGGTTCCCGAGGCTACGGCCAGCTACAGATTAATAACAAGTTTTTGTGCACAATTACTAATAACCACGCTAAGAATTGCAATGTTTATTTTGTGTTTTTCAATGGAGAAAGAGCAAACTTGCAACGGCTCCTCGATTTTTAAGTGATCCGACGCCCATAGACAACAGAGGAACCGCAAACGTTAGTATTCTATTACTCTATACTATTCTTGGACAATGTTTACTCTTTATTTCATGTTTTATTATAACAAGGTAATGCTTGCGATATACGTAATTATGGGTTTTATTTGACTGACAAGAGGGTAATGTTTTTCACGCGTAAAGTGTAATTTTAATACATTCGCATAGTAAAATAAAGCCGATGTAGGGCATTTTAAATTAGTAATAAACAAGTTCGAATCTCACTCGTCATAATTTTTATAATCACTGAATCACTTTTTCCAAAAATGGAGTATTTTGTTGAGTCCACTGAATTCTAATATATTACTGGACAGGTTATAAACCGACTTTTTTGTGCCTATTTGAATTTCACGTAAACCAAAAAGAATAAATCTTACTTTTATTTCTTTGTTATGGTATTTTCCTTAACGTCAGTGGGTATATTAAGTGATTTAACGCAAAACTTCAATGCAAAAATAGACAATGTCTGAAATAATAATACGGAACTATTTTTTTCGTTTAAGTATTATAAATCTGGCAATAACCAATTGTAAACATGTTTACATTTTACTCCTACAATAGAACAAGTCAACTCAATAAAACAAAAATAATATTCAAAATTATAAAGTATCGTAAACTAGCAAATTGCATTCCATTCGGGATGACGTGTGTTCACGCAAATAAGATTTTGATTTTACAAAAAAATATTAATGTCATAATTTTTCAAGGTTATGCGAGCATTTTTAATTAACCGAAATATATTACACTTCGACATCCCTATTGAATTCTGTCTCTCTCTCTTTCTCTCTCTCTCTCATGACAATCATGTTCTAATATTGTTTATTAAGAAAAGCGTGTGTACACTCATTTTTATTAAATTAAAGCCTTTTAATTTTATTATCTCGAAATACTTGATCTACACAAATTTTATACGTTTACATTTACAAAACATTAGTAGACATTTGAATCACAACAACGATCATTTGAATATTAAGTCAAAATTAACAGTCGGTAACATCAACAGGCACTTTTAAATCGGAACGAAGCAAAAGCTGTAATTTCCAAGCAGCAAATTATCCAGCAGTTTCTATAGACATCAGTGGTTTTTTCCTTAACCTTGACGTGGCGAAATTCCAAAACAACAGGAGCGTTATTAAGGAAATAACTACGCAAATACCGGTTTGTAATAAAATATAGGTAATAACTGAGGCATATTTTTAATTCTTTAGACGACAATATATATCTATTATTAAATATGTTTTCTGACATGTTAAATCAATGGCATTTTAAGGCGAGGTGGGGCGACCGCCCAGAGCGCTGGGTATAAGGCGCTGCGGGAACAAGAGTCAAATGTAAAGAGCCAAAAATCTTCTTAGGGAGACTTCAAGACACAAAAAGGGGGCGCTGTATAAATCTCGCCCAGGGCGCCGGAAATGCTACAACCGGCCCTGTTAAGAGTACCCGAAACCGACGTGCATGTATGCGTAGATGTATGATTGTAGAAGAAGCGAGAGAGGTGTGTCAGTTCCGCGTCAAATGATCCGTGATCTCCGACTACTTTCAGTATGCCAGATTACGAACGTGACTAGTAATGTTGTTTAAATTTGAACAAAACTTAAAATATTTGACGGGATTGTAAGAAATAAAAATGGACACTCGAATTACATCAAAGGAAAGAGGACCAATGTACATAGTTTGTTAAAATAGTTGGAGATATTTACAACAATGCCACTTGAAACTCGTCACGACAAAGTAGTAATATATACAACTAGGGAAGTCCATTCAATGTTATCGTGAAAGTATCGATATCGATATAGATAGCATTTAGTAGATATACATACTTATGTATGATATTATAATTTTATTACAGAACCTATAACAGACGAAATAACGAAGACTGCAGTTTACTAAGAAGATTTATCAGGGACATGACTTCCACGGTTGGTATCAACAAGGCTGGAAGAACAACATCCAAGAACAGCTTCTGGCTGACATAAGCTCCTCCAAAAAAATAAGTCTAAAGACATATTTTTGATTTGTATAAAGTTAACATAAATCTTTTGTGTACCTGCAACATATACACTGACACGTCAAAATAACTCGATTTAGAATTCGATATTTTCATATTAATTTTTATTTAACTTTCAGAATTGTTATCTAATAACATACGAGATTCAGCTGTTTGCGCTCAAAAGATTTATAGAAGACATGGCTTCAACGCTTGGTATGGCTGGATAAACCACTGCCGTGGAAGACCTTTGCCTGATATTGCATCCTGTTAGAACGAAGCAATAAAGACGAAAGAAATTATTATAAAGACCATTCAATTTCCTTTCATGATAGAATGCTGTATAAATTAAAGGTTACAATTAATTCGTGTTTATTTTACAATATTCTAATGATTTACCGGTAAATTATTGGATTTACATGTAAAAACTATGATTTACCGGTAAATACTAAAATTTACTGGATTTATTTTTTATACTGCGCGGACGAAATCACGAGCAAAAGTCAACTATTAAAAAAATGCTTCTTTTTTAACTTTTTGAACTACATCGTTGGTAATTTTTTAGATTTTGTAGGTAAATAATAAGACTAACCGTAGATAGTTCCTTTCTATTATGTATTTGCAAAAAAACGATTGATTAGATTCCTTAATTTTTATCACCCTACGCCTGTGAATATAGCAAAGAAATAAAATGCATTATAAGTATCGTTGCTTTTCTTTTTCTAAAGGGGCAAAAATATCATACCAGCTACAAATAAGATATGAGCTGTTTATGCCGCTTTATGCCGCTGCTGTTTTCCTTCTAGATCATTACTCCCTTAATCGGAATAATTTCAAAACTTTTGTTGGAACAAAAACTTTACATGTTGCACTCTTATTGTTTTACAAATAAGGAAATCAAAGAAATGCGAATGCAATCTTTTGGACTGCACTTGAATTTCTTTGATATATAGAAAGAACTAGAATGAAAATGCATAAAGCACTTCAACCCACAAACAGAAAGACGCAAATAAATTTTATCTTAGTCTTTCAAATAACGTATGATTTTTTATAACAATTTCTTATTATTTTTAACAAGAAATGCTTTACTTATTAACAAAAGAAGTTTTATTTAACACCACTGACCAAATTTCAACACAAAAATATGATGGAAGGGATTCTTTGTTAGTAATTATTGAGTTGTTTTGTTAATGGGCTTTCTTGACATACAGATAATTTCGTACTCCCTTGTGTATTTATAAAATAATTCATACTAGTTGTCGCCCGCGACACCGTCTGTGCAGAATTAAAAACAAAACTCAATAAGTAGCCTACGTGTTCTTCCAGACTATGCTCTAAATCCATGACAAAGTTCATCGTGATCTGTTCTGGAGATACCTTCAACAAACATCCATCCATCCATCTAAACATTTATAATATTATTATAGTAAGATTGAGTTGTTTTGCAACTTGACTCTCTTGACATACAGATAATTAGGTACTTCTTTTAGTATTTATATGTTTTGTTTTGTTATCCGTATCATTCGTTTACAGGATATCGAACAGTTCAGACAATAATTCTAATCGAAAATTTATTATGAAACTGACTATTGTACTCTTTGCTTTAGCTTTGTTCAGCCAAAGCAAAGGTAAATATCTGACGAGATGCAAACAACTAAATGGCTTAGCGGGAAACCAATTGAGAAGCTGTAAGTACAAAAATTATTTCAACAAGGGAGATTATATGTGGAAGTAAATAAATTAATTTAAACTATACTTAACTTACGATGATAACTAACTGTTGGGAAGAGGAAAATAAGTCAAACTTGGCCTCTTATGGACAAGAAATACTTGTTAATTTTTACAATTCAATTCTATTTCTTTACATTCACTTTATTATCTGCATTAATCGTTTTCAGGGGATTGTTTTGACCAAAGTGAGACTTCGCAGAACATCGATGTCACCGCCAAACCCAGCAGCGACGATTCCCGGGGCTACTGGGATTTAAGTATCAATAATATATATACGTGCACAGTTACTAACGCTGATAATGGCCAGAATTGCAACGCTTATTATATGTTTAAACGGTTACGCGAACAGCTGAACATCTAATATTAAATTATCCGACGCCCATGATCATCCTCAATACCAAAGGAACCACAAACGTTAGTATTCATTCTTACTATATTATAAATGCGTATATTTGAATGGATGGATAGATGCATGTTTGTTTAGAAGGTAACTCCAGAACGGCGGCTTGTATCTCGCTGAAATTCGGCATAGTTGTAGAACATATAGTCTCGAAGAACACGTAGATTACGAGTACTAATCGAGTTTTTTTGTAACGATTCAGTCAGGAATTAGATAGACACCACAAGATCGGCGTAAGTTCACTGAGCTGACGGCCAACCTTCATTAAATGGAGAGACACCTTGAGAAAGAGAGAGAGATTTATTGACGTGTTTTGGACACGTTGAAAGGATTAATAAAAATAAGAGTCGTAAATCAAATTTTATGGTGCTATTTCAGAACTCATAACGGACGACTTTTCAAAGCTGCAACCTGTGCTAACAAAATCTATTAGCGGCATGCCTTCGACAGCGTATGACTGAAAGACCAAGTGCTAAGGAAAACCTCTCCTCAACATAAGCGCCTGCTGCAAATGGATATACACATCTAAAAACTCGAAGCAACACATAATTAGCTATAATTTGTATGTACTTACCGTAATAAAATCATTCGTGTCATATTTGTTCATATCAAAAAAAAAATCGAAATTTGAAATAATTTTTTATTTTATCCAAATTATTTAGAAAATAAAAAATATACAGTATTAACTTGAAATAAAATGCTATAACCACATAAAATCGCAAGGAAAGTACGTATAAAATAAGGTGACAAACGATCGCCTGTCCGAATTCAAGATTCAATTGCAGATGAGTTGCCTACCTTGAATCTGCAGAGGACGGGACTGACATTCATAGTACATTTCCACTTCCTCTGCATCCTCTCCTCCGATAAATCAAGTCTGTTTTCTGTGTCATTGTGGTATTGCACCGGTCCTTCGGGCCATACGTACACTATTGCTAAGCTATTTGCCACGATTTCTTTCACGTTTATCACGTTTACAAAATCACGAAGGTTACATATGTAAATATAAATGAACTTAAGACTATCTTTGTAACCATTTTTCTAAAATAGTACGGTGTTGCTTAGACTTTTTTCAAGTGTGCATATTCTTCGTGAGCCTATGATTTATAAATATGATGTATATAAAATTATTTAATAAAATGATTACTATTCAATTTATTTATTCCTTAACCATATTTTTAATTATCATTTACAATAAACAACTTAAATTCTTTGTCATTCTATATGAAGCTATACCTTTTTTTTTTCAGAGGGGAATGCTTTATGCATACTCCGCGCCCCGGGGGGGACGCGGTAGTTATGTGGGATTCTCCTCCATAGCGGAGGCATACCCACTAAACCCCTCTGTTCCTCCAACGCATTGGGACGGGACCACGGGCACGCTTTCGCTCTCGTCCGCGGCATATGAAGCTATACCTGGAACATCCTATATAAATATGCCACTATCACTAACGTATAATAATTTTCAACAAAAGTTACATGACATGGTTTAATTAACAATCCTTACTTTCTTACTAATCCTTACAAATGCGAAAGTAACTCTGTCTGTTTGTGTATGTGTCTCGCTTTCGTGCCAAACTACTTACTGGAGCGTTTTAAATCAAATGTGGTACACGGTCTAGAGCTTGAGAAAGGACAAAGCCTACTTTTTTATGCGAAATAAGGGTTGTAAAGGGATGACGGTCAGGACTATGGCGGATGCAACACAAGCCAAATTCTTTGTTAGAGCTGGCCCTAACGTGCCACAGATATTGTTGTTACTGGCGTCTACCACTGTAAAAAAGCATCTGAAGACCCAAATAAATGTAATTGAATTCCTATTTATCGTACTTCTTACTAATATTATAAATTCGAATGTTTAGATGGATGGATGAATGTTTGTTTGAAAGTATCTCCGGTGCGGATGAACGGATCTTGCTGAAATTGGGCACAGACGAACAACACAGTCTGGAAGAACACATATTAACTTTTATTTTCAATTCCGCGTGGACGGAGTCTCGGGCGACAGGTAGTCTATATATATATAAGCTTTTGCCCGCGACTTCGTTCACGAGAAATTAAAAATCTGTTAAATAGCTTTAGTATTCTTCCAGATAGTGTTCTACATCTCTATCAAATTTCATCCATATCTACACAGCCATTCTGTAGGTACCTACTAACAAACAACCATCCATCTACATATATTTTCGTATTTGTAATATTAGTAAGATAGTAGACAAGATTAAATGATTTTAATCGCAATTTCCTAATAATAGTATCAAGAAATCGTAAACAACAAAAGAAGTTTTATTAATCATCGCTAATCAGATTTCAACACAAAACAAAGTCTTATTTACAACTATAGAGTTGTTTTGTCAATTGACTTTCTTGACACACAGATAATTTTGTAGTCACTTGAGTATTTATAAAATGTCTGTGGTTATACAGGATGTTCTGATAAGTTGTGTACAACAAAAGATTTTACATTTGTTCAAATATCTCAAAAAATATTTAATATTTTATTCATATTTAAACTATGTTTTGAATCAATGGTTTGGAATCAATATAACACACCCTGGAAGTGATAGAGGCCAATTATAATGTTATTGAATAGTAACAATGATTTTCCGATCATCCTGTACTTTAAGTTGTTTTGCAACTTGACTCTCTTGACATACAGATAATTAGGTGCTTCTTTTAGTATTTATAAATGTTGCTTTCTTATCCGTACCATTCGTTTACAGGATATCAATTAGTTCAGACAAGTCTTAACTAAATCTAACAATAATATGAAATTGGCTATTATACTCTTTGCTCTTGCTGTATTCAGCCAAAGCAAAGGCAAGCACCTGACGAAATGCAAACAAGAAATAGTAGGTGGCCTCGCGGATAGCTGTAAGTGAACAACTTATTTCAATAAGACAGATTTTATGGGGAAAGAAAATAAATATGACAACAAGCGTATCACCATCTCAAAGGCCGGCAATTCATCTGCGGTTCCTCTGGTATTGCTGATGTCCATGGGCGTCGTTGAACACCTCGGTGTTCCCTCTGCTCGTTTGCCCCTTTCTGTTATAAAAAAAAACAGCATTCTACTTTCATAAGTGGGTAAAAACGATGACTGAAATCTCACCAGGCGGTACGCGGAAATATCCTTAACGCCTCAATTTTATTTAATATCTGGTAATTTGAAGTAATTACATTTCCATTATCAAATTGCCATATTTTTGTTTTATCAAATGTTCATTAGTCACAGTTTAAAGACATACTTAAACGTATTTAACTACATTAACTGTATTAAACATTTGCAGGGGATTGTTACGTCGAAACGGAAAGTTCCCAGCGCATTGGCGACTCTGACCAACCGAGCAGCGATGATTTACGGGGCTACGGGCACATAGATATGACAAACAAATTTTTGTGCACTATTACAAACGCCGCTAACGGAAAGAATTGCAATGTATATTATTTGTTTAAGCGGTCAAACGATCATCAGACCGCCTAATGTTAGGCTATCTGACGCATACGGACATTCATTACACCAGAGGAATGCAAACGTTAGTATAACATTATCTTTCCAATTCTTTCTTTAATTTCGATTCATCTTAAATCAAATATCATGGTGTTCTTTCAGAACTTATAGATGACGACATTACGAAGGCTACAGCTTGTTAAGATCTATCAGAGTCGTGGCTTTAACGGCTGATATAGCTAAAAGAATAAATGTCAAGGAAAGCCATCAAAAACTTATTAAGCAAAAAGTATTAAGTCATCATTTCTGAGTGTATAAAAATAATTAAAATCTTTTGTTTGTTTAATAAAATAGATTTAATTTAAGACATTTTTTTTTCAAAGGCTTTTATCTCAAAATTGAATAAAGTTGAAATTCAACTCGACGGAATTCAATGAACACGTAGAATCCAAACTGATCTATATCGATTTTTTTCATTAATCAATGCAAAGCCATAAAGAATATTATTTTTTTTTACATTTGATAACTTCATGGGATAGATAAAACTTGATGTTTTGTTTATTAAAATAAACCATATTTTACATTTAAATATTTATTATCACACAATTAGTTAAACAAATTAAATATTCCATAATCTAATATAAAGAGATTTTTTGAAACAAATCTTTGGATCTACTCCTTCTTATCTTCTAGCAGGAACTAATATCGGGTAGAGAACCCTGGCATTTGTTCCTCCAACCGTACCAAGCTCTGAAGCCGTGACGTTTGAACACTTTCTTAGCGCATTTCGCCGCTTTCGTGATGTCATCAGTAATAAGATCTGAAAATTTAAATATATACATTATAAACCTATATATGATTTTCCCGAATAACCTCTCCTCGCTGTAAGTAACTTGATTTCTTGTCAAAACTATTGTGCTAGCTATAGGTCATAACCAATGGTCACCAACCAAGAGCTCGTTCCGTTTACTCGTTTAAGATAGAAGTTCATTTGCGCCTTTATTCTTCGAATATTTTTCAAATGAAAAAAATGAAGTCACGCCAACAAAGAATTTAAGCTTACATTGACTGACTAACCATGGCTATCTGAGACCAAAATATTTACTAATATTATAAATGAGAAAGTTTAGATAGATGGATAAATGTTTATTTGAAAGTATATCCAGAACGTCTGAACTGATCTCGATGAAATTTGGCATACATAGTCTGGAAGAACACATAGGCTACCAATGATGTTTTTTTTTCAATTCCGCGCAGACGGAGTCGCGGGCGACCGCTAGTCTCTATACAAAACATATTGTCATACCTGTTATTATATTTGCAAACAGAGATAATAAGAATTCTCTACAAGCAGAGTATTGTTGCCAGTCTCTAACAAGTTTAAACAGAACCATAAACACTTGACATTGGCCTAATACGATGAGGACGAGCCATAAACAAGAAACAGAACAGAACAGAGATAATAATATGTTTTAAACGGAGATTTTCATCTCAAAAACCTACGGTAATTAAAGTCGGGTTTGCATTACTTACCAGCGCAAGTGACGTTGCAATCTTTACCAGCAGTGCTGGTATTGCTGCACCAGTATTTATCGTTGATTTGGAAGAGACCGTAGTCCCGGGATCCGTTCTTATTTACTTTGCCAATCTTGTGCGTACGGCCAGAACTCTCGTTTTCCACCAAACAGACCCCTGAAAAAAATATCATGTGATATGTAAAATCATATAAATCAGGGGCACAACGCAAATGAATGAAATAATCGAACTTCAAGTAAATATATAACATGCGCCTTTTGAAAACCGACGGCAAACAATATTGTATACATAATAGGTAATTTATTGTTTTATCTGTGCAAGTAAATAAAAAAAATATTAACTTACAATCCCTCATTTTATCCTCAGGAAACCCATGACTCCGTAACTGCTGCACCAACTCACATCTGCTCAAGAGTTTAGCTTCGCATTGCAAAAAAACAGCGAGAGACAAAAAAACTACTAAGAACTTCATATTGAATATAATATTGCGGTTATAGCAATATAAACGTCTGTTCATACAGAGAGATAAAGATACTATGATTATTGTAGCATCTTTTCTGCTCTTAAATACGTTAGTTCGTGTGCCAACGGGATTTCATAAAGTAGGGAAACGGGGAGTCCCAGTTATCAAACACCGTGAGGTTATAATGTGTTGAACTCTTACTATGTTACTAACCAGTGCAAATTTGATTACAGCATCTCTTTATCTATTTTAACACGTTTAATGCCATTAAGTTTTTCACGTCATAAAGTGTACTCGCACGGCGCATGGCATATAAAGTGTTAAAATAAATGTACATTGTTCATAATTTTCTAGTAGTTTGTTTTCAAAAAAAAACTTGTAGGTTGAATAATGGAAATAATCAAATGACAGACTGTAAAATTCATATTTTACAGCCTACGTATTTTTAATTATTAGTATAAGAGTGCTCGTAGATATTTTCTAAGAACATGCTTAGAAATAATAAATGTAAAAAAATTAAATTGTAAAATAGTTCGATAACAAGAAAATAAACTGTTATTAAGTTAGCGTCCGATGTTCTTGATATCAACATGACGACACCAACTTGCGGTGAGTCCCCGGTCCTCGTGCTGCGGTTAACCTCACCTAAAGACGCTCTAAAAACATAAAAACATTAGGTATATACTGTTCTTTTGTTTTATAATAACAACAAGACCCCTTGATATTCGACATCAAATTAACACAGTTAACTAACTCTTTTTACGTCACCTTAGCCACCTACGGCTTTTATTTTGAGAAAAATACTTCCAAATAAATATAATTTATATTTTAATTGGCATAGTTGGTAATATTATTATCTGTGTTAAAAGTCACTTTGACCTTGACCACGGGTATTATATTAGGAAAGTAGCAACAATAATTGCAATAACTCAAGAAGTATAATTCACCCCTTTTTTTGTTTAAACAATAAAAGATCATCCTGCCCTTAACCTTACAGACGGCTAGCATAGTATGTACTACTCCTCATACATCTCTATCACCCGTCATATCTGAATCTACCCCCTTCCTAAGCATATCTTCTTTCGCACAAACAATAAAAGATACATCTGCTATTAAATGTAAGCGAGTAAAAGAAAATAAGTAACCGCTAATTAATCTTTCGTTTCCGTTCCGTTAAGGATCGTTTCCGGTAGGCGCCCGCCATTACACAATCAAAGAGTAATAGATACGACTATTGGGTAGGGCGACGACTGTAACGAAAAACACGAAAAACAGCAAGACAATCGAAACAGACAATAGCAAACTGCAAATGTAGTTAATGCAATTGCATTTAATTACTACAAATATAAACCCTTTAAAATACTTGAAATATTGGTGGATCTTAAGTTTATAATCTTTGGCCATAGTATAGACCATAGACTAATAGTTGTCTTGTTGTCAAAAAATGTCAAAGTGGTTTCAAAGTTGAAAGCAACCAAAAGCAACAATCAAACAATAATCGTCATCGCATCAAGAGTGACTTGGTACCGGAGATAACTCTCGTTCCAATAAACAACGCGGTTAATTTTCCTATTTCTTCTTTAGATTGTAATGTAAAAACGGTATCAACACAAAAATGAGGATCACAAACGTAAGACGTGGAAGGATTTTTCGCATAGCAGGGATTTGTGCGATATTACTAGTTTTGATTTATGCTTTGCAAAGTTGGACTAGTGCAAACGTCGGCATTGATACAAGTGAATTTATCAACTCGGACGCTCAAAAAAGTTACTACAAATTCCATAGAAATGTGTACCCGGCACTAAACACTGGTAAGTATTAAAAACACTTTTTGCGCAATGTGGTAACTATACAGTTATGTGGCCCAATAGCAATAAAGCCGACAACGTTTTTATTTGACAATATACACATGAGCATGAGAACCGTCTTTCAATGAAATTGTAAACATTTGAAGCAGTAACTTTTTCCTTTTTTATTTTTAAATTGTATTCAAGATATATAAATTCCGAAAACTTACTAAGTACTTTAAATTTATAGCACATACAAAACGGATATAAGAAAGAATATAATTTTACCCAATAATTCCAAAATTACTGATTTTTTAATATTATTTAATGGTTCATCAAAACAATTAATAATAATGATAGACGATAAAAGTTAATTTATGCTTTTATTTTATTTCAGAATTAGGTAACTTTGAGCCTAAAACAAGGAATTCAGTGAGTGGTCCTGGGGAAGAAGGGAAGCCATATCACATGTCCCAGGACAGGACAAATGACATCAGTGAGTCAGAGAGTGAATATGGAATGAATATTGCTGCATCAGATGATATTGCTATGAACAGGTAAGTCAATAATACAGCAAGACCTTTAAAAAAATGTATAGTCAAAGAATTAAATTAGAAGAGCTTAAATAAGGTAAATATAAGATAGAATGCAATGTGAGGCATGGGTAGGAAATTAATATCTTCAACTGTACATCATCTATAGAAACTAAATCCTAAACTTTGTAAACATTCCTGAATTTTAAAAAAAGAATATTAACACATTCAGTGCTACCAATTTACCATATAAGTTTATTTTCATATTCAAAAATTGTTGGGGAACTTGTTTATATAATCTAGATTTTGAAACAGCGTACTTAAGCTTGGACAAATTTATTCTTCATCCATCATTTAACCTTAGTAGGAATCTATTAATTTTTGCGCAATTAGGGAGGTTAATTAATAATTACATCGTTATAAAGTTACCTAATAATAAAATTGTGTTTAGTAATTTACAGTACCTCTTATTGCACACATTAACATTTTTGATGAAATTTTAATTAATTATCCCATGGTGATTATAAAAACCGTTGCAAAATCACTGAACGTAAGAACATATTAGTATTTGAAATTATGTACAATATTGGCATTATTGGGTTCTTTGTCTTAATTTCATTCATAAATAAATTTTACTAGAGGCATGTAATTTTAAAAAGCAAATGACAATTTGGTTTACATGTATTACACTGTTTACACTTTTATATGAATAATTTGAAAGTTATTTACTCTGTTTTCATACATAATCAGGTCTAGCTTTATAAAAAAATAATCAAGTTGAAAAATGCATTGTCTCTGATTCTCTATAAAGAAAAGGGTTTTGACAGACAGACGGACAACAAAGTGATCATATAAAGGTTCCGTTTTTTCCTTTCAAGGTACTGAACCATAAAATGTTGTATTTTTTCAAGGACAAAGATTACACACAGATTTTTTCGTGTGCCTTATAGAAGGAAAATATATATATTTTTTATTATACAATTAATTACTAATAATGCTTTTAAAAACTTATCACAAATTTAATTGTATTTTCATGTTTTATTTGTACCTTATTATCAGTTTTAGTTATTTTCTTAACTATTTCTGATAATAACTTTGATAATATAATCTTTTTACATTCAATTGTTTCGTAAAGTCAACCAATTATTATAAGCTGAATTATATGAACTTTAGTTTATTTTGGTACTAGCTGTCGCCCGCCACTCCGTCCGTCTAGTATAAAAAATAATAATTAGCGTGTGTTCTTCTAGACTATGTTCTATATGTATGCCAAATTTCATCGCACTCCATACAGCTGTTTTGGAGATACATTCAAACAAACATCCATCCAATTATCGCATATATAATATTAGTATGATTATTAAAATTGACATAATTTATTCTAGTTTCTATTTTTTTTTCAACACTACAATACCTACTTGATGGTTTAGGTGTATTCTTAATTCTGGGGATTTTTCCTCCAAGTTTCTTGTGGTTTATTTAAGTTCAGTGGTTTTTATAGAAATAATAGATAAATAGACCCTTGTAAGGACTAAAAACCATGGGTTTCTGAGACATATTTTTATCTATGTTTTGTCAAAGATAATGACAAGAATTACTATTTATACTGAGATTTACGTGTCAGAAACCTACTGTTCGTGGTAAAGGCTTCACATTTAGACAGTGACGAGTTCTTTTCTAATTTATGAAGGTTTTATAAACTGATATTAATTTAATTTGAATATTTTACGAATGTTACTTATGATGTTGACTTTGTAAAACTATTATCATATTTAGAAAGCTGATAATCAAACCAGTTTAAGTTCTAAGTTTTTGTGAAAATATGTTGATTTTTGGACGAGCAAACGTACGTTTCTGGAAATACACAATAATGTAGTCTAATAACTGAGAATGTACGTGAATTTAATGATGCTATATAGGATTAAATTTATTAAATTGTTCAAACTTTCCTGAAACATTAGTTTAAACTTATTTGAACGCAGATAAAACATTCACGTGTGTTCGTCTGGTGCTGCCACCGGAATATACGTAGGTGTTTTAGCCGTTTTTATATAAGTTTCAGATTAAATCTTATATTTATAGAACATAATTTCATAAAACACACCAAAAAAAAGTAATATACGATAAGAATGATAAGAAAACTAAAAGATTTAATAAATTAAAGATAAACAAATATTTTATTATCTGTGTTATAATGTGTACAATTACAAATGGATTAGATTTATTTATTTAAACACTAGCTGTCGCCCGCGACTACGTATGTATTCTTGCAGATTATTTTCAATAACTATGCCAAATTTTATTGAAACCCACGCAACTGTAGTCGAGATGCCTTCCAACAAACATCCAAACATTAAAATTTATAGTATTAGTAAGAAGTGTGATAGATTTCAATATGTTTCCATTTCCACGTAGATCGATTCCGGACACCCGTCTGGAGGAGTGCAAATATTGGCACTACCCAAAGGATCTGCCGAGCACATCGGTCATCATCGTGTTCCATAACGAGGGTTTCTCCGTCCTGATGAGGACTGTACACTCCGTCATCGACCGTTCACCTCCTAGTGTTTTGCATGAAGTTGTATTGGTGAGCATAGCTAGATTTTATTGCCATTGTATTCATATTTTCTACTTTATTTTCTGCTAGGTATAGTTAAATGCGTTAATAGTTCATTTCAAATATCTGTGTGTCTCAAGGTCATCAGCGCGCTGCGATGTGCTGAGATATCTAAAAAGTACTATAACTCGGTTATTAAAAAATTCTTCCATGCATTTAAGTTATAAATTTATATTTATTTTTCTATTCTGTTATTATGTTGTTATTACAGGTCGATGATTACTCAGATAAAGTAAATTTAAAAGACAATCTCGATAATTATATAAAACGATGGAACGGTAAAGTGCGCTTGATTCGAAATACACAGAGGGAGGGTTTGATTCGTACTCGGTCTCGGGGGGCGCAGGAGGCGACCGGTGACGTCATAGTTTTCCTAGACGCTCATTGCGAGGTCAACGTAAACTGGTTACCACCTTTACTAGCTCCTATATATAGAGACTATAGGATAATGACGGTACCAGTTATAGATGGAATCGATCACAGAACTTTTGAATACAGACCAGTATACCAACATGGTACAAATTATAGAGGCATATTTGAATGGGGCATGCTATACAAAGAGAACGAAGTCCCAGATAGAGAATCTAATCTCCACAAACATAAATCAGAACCATACAAAAGTCCAACACACGCGGGTGGATTGTTCGCAATCAATAGAAGATATTTCCTTGAAATTGGTGCATATGATCCTGGTCTTTTAGTCTGGGGTGGTGAGAACTTTGAGTTAAGTTTTAAAATCTGGCAATGTGGAGGCAGTATCGAATGGGTGCCGTGTTCACGTGTGGGTCACGTGTACAGAGCATTCATGCCGTACTCATTCGGAAGTCTTGCAAAGAATCGAAAAGGTTCCCTCATAACAATAAACTACAAGAGAGTAATAGAAACATGGTTTGACGAGGAACATAAGGAATACTTCTATACTAGAGAACCGATGGCCAGATTTTTGGATATGGGTGATATTACTGACCAATTAGCGTTAAAAGAGAGATTGAAATGCAAGAGTTTCGGCTGGTTTATGGAGAATGTAGCTTACGATGTGTACGATAAGTTCCCGAAGCTGCCCAAGAATGTGCATTGGGGCATGGTAAAGAATAAAGCGGCCGGTGTCTGTCTCGATACTATGGGGAAAGCGGCACCAGCTTATATTGGTGAGTTAAAATAGAGAATATTTCCCCTTCCTATGCGTCCCCTCTTTCCTTTCCTTATAAGAAAATGGTAGGAAGGGTAACACTAAAATAACGTCTTCATAATCAATCAACCTATTTCCGATATATTTATAGATTTAAACATTTATGTTAGGTACATCAACATGCCACGGCGCGGGCAACAACCAGCTGTTCCGGCTGAACGAGGCGGGGCAGCTGGCCGTGGGGGAGCGCTGTGTTGAGGCTGACAGTGACAGTCTCAAGCAGGCCATCTGCAGGCTCGGCACCGTCGATGGACCCTGGAGGTAAATATTACTACGAGATTAGGATTACTCCATATAAAGTCGCTGAGAGATACCATAAACAATTAATCCATCGGCTTGTATTATACGCCAGCTCTTCCAAAACTGGTCGCCTTTATCATAACTCAAAATACATTTAAATTATGCTTGCTTCTAAATTTGGTATATTTTTAACATGTTTCTTATCGACTTCAAACAAATAAATATAATTAATGAAATAATTTAATAGCTATGATGAAGCACACAACCAGCTGGTACACCGGCTGCACAGCCACTGCCTGACCCTGCAGCCGCAGTCCCGAGTCCTGGGTCTGGCGCCCTGCGACCCTCACAATACCTTCCAGCAGTGGACCATCGCACACAAGAAGCCCAACTGGTGAGTCCCAACTACAGGGTCTATACCCCCCTACGTCCACCCCCTACCACGTGATATATAAAACATTTGAATTTTGTAATAACGAATTTATTTGATTACTGTTGACCTCCAGTATTACTCGAGTATGTAACACGATTTTTTTTCTTAGTTGATTTAGATTTTCAAGTGTTACAAGAGGTCTGTAATAACATTTGGACACTGCCTATTTACGAATTACATCCAAAAGTAATTTAATATTTAAGAATTCAGATGAAAGCAATATTTAAATATCATAAATCTTCATTAACACTATAAATATTATACTTTAAATAATAATTCTAGAAACTTCGATTGGAACATTTCTAGATCTAAGCCTTCTCAATTCGTGACCTACCTATGGTGTCTAAGACCAAAATATCCATACAAAACATATCGTCATCCCTGTCATTATCCCTGACAAAACAGAGGTAACAATGTTTTGAACGGACATTTTGGTCTCAGAAACCTACGGTGATTGAATCAAGGCATTGTTTATGGTTGCTCTGACACTTGACACTTGTCTCTGTTCTGTCAAAGAGAATGAAAGAGATGACAATACATTAATATGTATGTATGTACTGTAGTTGTATTATTGGGTAGTATAGAATTTTTAATGTTAAATCACCATTTTGCCTTTCTTTGAAATTATATTTCGTTTATATTAATATATTTATTATAACTGCGTCCATACATATAAGTACTTAATTTATAATTTTATTTTACTATTTTTTTCCTATTCTTATGTACCTTATTAACTATTTCTTATCTAATGTTATTTAATGCCTGTGTCAAAAGAAAAAAAATGATTTCAAAGAGAAAAATCAGCAATGAATATTTTTCTATTGTTTTGAAACATATTCCTAATGAAAAATATATGGCTTGCTTGATTTAGATAATGAAATTTATTAAAATATAAGTATTCCTTGCTCAAAACGACTAAAACACAAAAATTGCTTGGTGGTTACTGTCCTAAAGGTGGGTTTTTATGGTTCGTGCTTACAGATTCAGACCGGTCTCCGGAACAAGAATTATTTTAAATTCCGGTCATATTTTTAAACCAATTAAAACAATGAGCATAGATATATGATAAGTTTATTGTATTTTATTTTTAAGTGACATTTTATGATTGACAAATTTAAAATCTGGAATGACTAGAAAGTTAGACTAAATTATTATAATAAATATTTGTATGTCTCATCTAGAATTGTAGGGACGTTAAAAATCAATGCATTTTATGTAAATTTCGAAAAGAACCGAAATGGTCACTTAATTGTACTCTGGGTGTTAACAACTGAAACCTGCTAATTTATGTGGTTCTCGAATAGCGATGGGCGTTAATCTAACGATCTAGTTGAAACAACCGTTCAGTGTTTTAACCGTTCACTGTTTTTATTTAACATAGGAATACACACTGATCGCCATTATTTTCTCCACCACTCTTTTATGTTTGTTGAATGCATGATTAACTAGTTGACGAAATCAACTAGTTTTTCGACAAGTTAAAAAATAACAGTTTCGTTTCGTTGACGCCAAAACGGTCAACGGCCCATCCCTATTTTAGTTTGCTGTGACAGTTGTATTGACACAAATTGTTGTCTCTGCTTTATCAATGAAAATATGATGACATATCAAAACAAATGTCACTGTATTCAAAAGCCACAGTAAGTTCTACTTTGTGTAAAAGTAAAGGCCAATAATTTTATTAACTACTATAAAAGACACAATAGACGTCACAAATATTTTGTAATTACTGTCATATTTATTTTATATAAAGTTTAATTTTTAAAATATATGTCAGAAAAATACTAAGTACTCTAATTTTTGTTTCAGAATGAAATTTTAGTGAGATTATTTTCATGTTATTTATATAAGATGTCCAGAAGTGTTAAACGGAGTACCTTGGTCGAAAATATGACTATAACCAATTAACCTCTTTCCAAGTTGCATAGTTTATTTGCATATATACACTAATTTAAAACATACTGCTATCATCATTTTCAAACAAACCTTTGGTATAAAATTAACTGGCAACGATATTTTGCAACAGCCTGTACAATGACTATTAATTTATTTTTCGTGGATATTACATTCAATATGTAAGATTATTTTCTTCTCTCTTGTAAAGTTTTAACACTCCGTTGTACACATCTTTCCCGGACACCTATATATATATTTTAATAAAAAATGTACGTACTTAACTGTATTTACATTACACGATGTATAATCCCTGAATCTCTTAACATGACCACGCGCCCGTAGTCGCGAAAAAATACAATTGCATTTAAAAACTTGATGTAATTTTATGAAAACAAATGTTTACTACTTTTTTTACTTAAATTCCTACATTTGTGTTGATAATATATGTCATTTCATCTCATGAACCATCAAGCATAAGACTGAAGTCTTGAAAAATGGCAGGAAGTGTGCGTTAAACAATAATTATACATTTAAAGATTTAAGAAAAATTAGGACCTGCTTTTATTATGGGGAATATAAATGAAATTGGATTTTATTGATTTACTCCGTTTTGATGTAATTTAACTGTAAATTTATACAATTTCTTTCTTTGTAAATTTTCTGTGATGTCTTTTTATATATGTAATTCGATAATTAATAAAAATAAATAAATATTTACCGTTAAATATGTTGTTATTTATCCTTGATTAATTCCCTGTTCCTGAATACTTTTAGGATTATAACATGTTAACTTTTTTTGTTCCATAGGTTCCGTAATTCCGTCGCAAGAATTCTTGTAAATTGGTACTAAAAGCGTCAAATTAAAAAAAAATAGCGATTGCTAAAATGTCTATGGGCTAATATGTTGGTGTCACTGTTTGATGTTTAAAGAATATGAACTGATTAAAATGGGAGACAATAAATGTACTCAAAGATTTTATCAAATAATTTATTGTTTTAGAAATATTTGTAAATTTATTAAATGTAACTAATCTACTACATTTTTATGTGAAATTATAGTTTTAATCGTCTTTATCGTTAAATTACTGGGTGCCATAAAAATTGACAGCATTACCTTTTTATGTTTTAACTTTTTTATAACTAAGTCTTAATGACAAGTAGGTTATTAGTAAATATTATTTTAGCCAATTTTATGTAGAAATGCAATTAAACTATAAAGCAATGATACAAATAAGTCCGATTTAGAAACATAAATCTATTTGATTGAAATTAAAAACAAAATGTATAGAAAAAAGATGATTAAATCTTTATAGTAAATCTTTTATTACTGCTAGAGCCAAAAATTGTCTTTTTTTCTGATAATTTTGTGTGAATTTCTTTTTTTGAAATTTGAGGTTAACATTTATAATATATGTAAAGAGCAAAAGAAACGCAAAACTTTAAAGCACCAGTTAGTAGGAGTTACATCTTCAATTAATGCACTATTTATACCACTTATCAAATTGAGTAAATGATTTTATTATTATCAGTTTTTGTACCCATTATAATGGAATCTTGGACCACCACTCACTCCAATCATTAACACGACTCTTCACATCCAGAATTGACCAATTTGGTGATGGTACATCCGGAGCAAGCCAATTAAAATCATCCAAATTGTCCCAATTATTATTATTTTTATCCAACGATGACATATTAAAGTGCTTCTCTAAATCTTCATATCGTAAATTATATGGCGCTGTTCTAATCTCCATACAATCTTCGACAATACCTTTGCTTGTTACATGAAGATAAATATCACACTTGGTTGATGTATGCATACGTAATTGTTGACAAGCTGTAACTATTTTACAATTTGTACACTTCTCTATAAATACTGAAGAAGTAACGGGGCCAGATAGAACAATGCAGTTGTCCAAATTAGTCAAATGCAACGTACCCATAACACCTTTCAAACCAATTGTACAATTTTTTAAATTTCTCATTGTCACATCTCTCTGAAATAACACGTCATTTTCTAGTAGCAGTACCTTTCCTTCTAAAGAATCGAAACCAAATAGCTTATCATCCCATTTATTGCTGTCAATCTTGTCAACACCGTCATGCTCATCCAAATTGTGTTTCTGATTGTCTGATTTAGGAATTTTCTTTCTTGTGAAGCCAAATTTTTTCCGAGGGACATATTGGTCTTCTAATTCGTAACATTTTGACTGTAAATTCTGTACAATGCCTAAGTATTTGCGCATGTTGAACTCTTTAAGGAAGAATGAGGATGTGACAACATATTTTTGCAATTCATTGACTTCTCTTTTGATGTTATCAAAGTGGGCAGTTAATACTGAAGTTTCCAAAGTTGGTATTTGAGATAACAACTGTTCGATGTACTCGGATCTGATTTTAAAAGCTCCAGAGAAGAAGTCTTCATTTTCATTAGAAGCGTCAACTTCCTCCCTTGCCTTATGTGCTTTTTGTAGTTTTTCTAAGCGTTGTGCATCTCTCCTACTCAGCCGCTCTAGTACAGAATTTCTATCACTCATTTCTTCAACAATTCTTCAATCTTTTTATTTAATTCAGAATCTTGTTTAGCAGCTTCTTTAAGTACTGCTACTGTGTCACGGGAGAATTTTCTTGTATCAGTGTGCTTAGAGCCCTCATCAAACTAAAAACAGAAAATAAATTATTCAGGTTACATTTGAGATAAAATTATACTCAAGAAGGAATGCAGTTAATTTGATACTTAATGGTTACAGTAACATCATATAAGTACTTTAATAATGGATAGGTTAAGTTGCAAGTTTTATTAGGTAAACATAACTCCTAATATGATCAAACTTGATGAATGAAAACTGAAGGAATCAAAGTACATTTCTAATAAATTTCGAACAAACACCTCACCTTATTGTTAGTCCTACATTGATTGTAGGTTTAACACAACAAAATTCAAGTTATTTACAACATTTAAAAGCCTGTACATCTAGTACTACATGTTACATAATTTCAACAGAATATTGTCTATAGCTAAGCCCAAATAATTGACCAAATACAACCAATGCAAAACATTGAAATATAATGACCTTCTTAAGTAGATCATCATCAGGTTTGACCACACAGAAAAGTCCATAACCGATGGCTCCAAACGTGAATATCCAAAAACCGGATCTAATCGCAATACTCATCTCACCGAGTTAAATCTTGCCCTCGCTTGACCAAACTTTTTGATCTAACTCACGAGTCTTGTGACCACCAATGTATTCCCCAAGACTGTAATATCCTTCCAAGACAAAGTTGTAATTTTTGTGCATATACAGACGGAAATCTGGAATTTAAAATTTAAGTTGATGTAAGTCAAAATATTATTCATCATGTTATATATGGGGTAGTAAGATGAATAGAATATAGGCGTTCAAATTGTCACATCAATTTATGATTTTAGTCAGTTTTTCTTGGCTATCAACAAGGTCTTTTTTGTTTAGTTGTGTGCATGAAAAATAATGGTTATTTTTTATTGTACAAATTAAACCTTTTTTTTTATAAAATTATCAAACTTACCTCTATCGGTATTCAACTTGAAGTATAAACCGTACGATACTGCAATTCCAATAGTTTCAGCAACAAAAACAGTCCCAAGAGTATAGCCAATGAATCTTTTGTAAGCCGGTTTCGGCTTTTTTATAAGCATTATACGATTTTAAAGTCAAAATTATCTTTGTCCCCCGATCGACCGAAAAATGAAAGAAAATTAGAACAAGATGTCGCATGAGGTGACGTAAGAAACAGATAACGAAATACTAACATGTACAGACCACATATAATTATCTACTATTTAATAAATATGAGGAGCAAAACACAATGTTAAAAAATATTGTAACGAATACATTAAGCACGAAATCATCTTTATAGAATTTAGCTGGGTTTTAAAAAGTAAACAAAAAAAATTATTACGACCTGGTGTTTTCTTAAATAAATATTTTCTATATAACAACATTTGAAATTTTGCCGCCCTTTGGCCGCGCCGGCAAAAATTGATATTGAGTTAAGGGTTTGGCTAAGGTAAAGAAAAAACAATTTTACACTCGTTTTAAAGGAACGACCAGCTGTTCCTGAAGAGCTAAAGATATGTACTGAACCAAGACCGTGGTTTACAAAATCTAATGGAAAGGATTAAAGAAAACTTCAAATGTTTGGTTTTTAATTAAAATTTATTAATATTACTGGTACAGCTATAATTTATATAAGTTCTTTAGTATAAGTGTGACTTTTCCTTTCAAGTTTATTCTTGAGCTGAAAATAATACATTATTTTAATAAGATTATTAAAATCTAGATATTTTAAGAAGTAATACCTTCGTTTTCTTCCTCATCGCAACTGTCCGTACATGCTCGGAGCTCCGTCACGGAATACTTTTCAATGCAATCTTTAGGAATGCGTTTGCTAAGGGGTCCCTGGAAATGCATAGAATAATATGTATATTGAAAAAAAATATGACAGCAACACGGTCTTCTTTCTTGTTGAGTTGTAGCCATTTTTAATAATAATTCTTACAATAAGGTCCACTGGCTGGTTATTGACCATGTGGTGCCGGAATCTCATCTGGTAACCCTCTATCTGGTTGTCTATGCACTCCCCCTCGCAAGATAGCCACTCGTCCCAGCCTGACATTGGGCAATTAGGATCCGATTCTTCAGAAGCGATTTCCATTCTAGTTCTGAAACAATCAGTTTATTGGGTAAAAAACTTTATAAAAAAATTAAAATTGGTTAATAAAAATTTACTAATAAATGGAAAAAGTATTAACAACTCACTCTCTCTGTGTTGTAGGCGTAGTAGCGTAAACTGTTTCTGTCTCCTCGACCTCTGTTAATTACAATAATGATTTCAAACAAATAGTCCAGATCTGAATACAGAGTTCAAAAAGAGTTACATTTACAACGTTAGCCTTCTTTGATAGAGGTGCGTCAAACTTTTCTCCACATACCTTCGGTGTTGGTGACCTCATATGTAACCTCAGAAGTAGCGGTGCGTGCGTACGTCCGTATAAGATCAAACTGCAGTCGTGCGAATGGTCGAACCTCTTCCTTTGGCACGGAGGGATTGATTACCGCTGGTGAAATCGGCTGTGGCGGCATTGTTTCGTCGTTTGACGACTGAAAAAATCTTATATTTTATATTTTTGACCATCAAAAGAATATCTTAAAACCCTTGACTCATCTTGACCCAGCTTTATTCTTATTGTTCGAGGTTTTTTCGTGTAAAATCGCTGGTTGGTGAAGTATTTCGTTCACTGATTAGTTGTTTTATTAATTTATATGTTGCTGTATTATGGTGACTCACTTCAAATTTCTTCCCGCTATCAGTGCCGGCATCCATGGGGTACAAGTTGAGAGTAAGATTGTTAGCCCAGGTGCCGGTTCTGACGTCACAGAGCTCCATGTTGGAGACACCGAGGAACCAATCGGGAGACGGGATAAGCGCGGTGACCAGAGACACGAGGTGATGCTCACGCGTCACACGGAACATAGACGTCGTCATCATGTTTGTCTTTGGTGGTGCCACCGCTTTTATTATGGTCCGGATGTTGCGACCTAGCTAATAAAATAAAAATATCTGTAATACCAAAAGAATTGGCGTTTCCTAACTTTGCAATAAACTGAAATGACAATTTCACATTACCGATACCTTCTTACCTGCTTCATAATCTCAATTTCTAGCTGCGTGGTGTTGCCCTGCTCCGCCAGCCTCTTGAGACCCTCACTTGCGTCGGAATTGTACTTGAACACGTTGAACTTGCTGTTGTGTGAGGCGCCCACGACGTCACTGAATCTCGCTAAATCTTCCGACTCGGGAAACATCTTAGAATGCGTATTGTATGACCACATACCTTCGAAGGTAAGCTAGATAAATATAAAAACATAATTTTTGAAAAGTTTAAATGATATGGCAGTTCAGTTGTAAACATAATTTACATACTAAATACCGAGCGTCCTCTTGTGCGGTACAGTTATCGTTCTTAGTAGGCTGCATGTCGAGTACATTCCGTCTGTCCTCGCAAACTCGCTTAGACAGCGGCCCATCCTGGCGGTACCATACGTCGCGCTTCACAGCCACCACTGCATTAATCGTCACGCATTTGTTCTCTTTCTTTGGAGCCTTCCAGTAAGCCTAAAAATATTACTAATGTTGAAAAAAATTATTCAGAAAATAGGCAAAGCGCAGTTAAACTTAAAAACATGTGGTTTTCACGAAAGAGCTAAGATGAGAAGGATAGTTTTCTCTCGAGGCAAGCTTAAGTCTTGACTTTTAAACCAATCCTTAACTCAGATTAGTATGTAGTACCTCGACGGATGTCTTAGGCGTTAAGTCGGTCTGGACCACAGAGTTGTTGCACTTCTTATTGGGCGTAGTCTCCGAATGGGGGGCGGGGAACACAAAGCCGGGGTCGAGATGCGCTGTCTTTTGTGGATTCTTGTCGTGCGGCTTAATATCGCCACGAGCCCAAATAGTGAACGCGATGAATGTTGATACGCCGTCCATCGCGGATAAACGAACTGTGTAAAAAAGCCTTTATTTTGTTACTAATCGTTATCATGTTATATGCAAATCAAAGAAAGTTTAGATTTGTTTAACATAACAAATTAAAATGAATGATAAGAGAAAACAGAAAATACTATGCATTAAAACTTCATATGACTTTATATTAATCTTAATTCCGATGCCGATGCCCAAAACTTTTGAGAAATGTTGGTATGGAAAGTTTTAATTTCTAAAGCTTGTAGTACACTGTCGCGAAAAAAGTAGCTAGCTACTTTATCGCTACATTTTGGTATTACGTATGCTTAAACCTTATCCTTCACTTAAATTCCGATTTACTTTCACAATAGTATGCCTTTGATGATTTCGTTTGAAGCAGATTTAAATTCTTACTGGTGTATTGTCTTGTCGGTATATATTTGTCGTTGACTCCAATGATTTCTATTTTGAACCGGCTATCTGGCGGCAGCGGATCCGTCGTGGTGCCCAGAGGTCGACGGTCGCACAAAATATCCTCGCACGTACATATTGTGAATGTTACTAATAATATAAAAACGTCCAAAACGTAACCTAGAAAGACAATAGTTAGTTACATTGTTAAAACTAATTAAACATCTCTACAACTATATCTGCCTAACCGTGAACATGGATACATAACATCATGTTGTTTCACGTCTTTCAAAGATAATGAGAGAGATGTATATATGCTTTTGCACGAATGTGCAGTTGAAACAAAATGTGAACTCGATAAACCAACAAATAGTAACACAGTTTTTCTTACACTGTAAAACTATACATGCACTTTAACAATTGCTTGTTGAAATGTGAAACTGTATGGAACGTACAGGCCTTGTTAATTAGGCCGAAGGGTGCATTACAAGACACACAATACCGACAATTTGACTTGGGTATCTTGCTGTTTTATTAAAAGTCTTGGCATTATGGATAGATCGTGTTATCAGAGTAATTAATCAAGGAATTTGTAGAGCCGATACATACAGTACATTATTTTTAAATCAGTTCAGGGAAAAGTATTGAAGAGTAAAAAGGAAATATTGAGAAACAAAGTTATTATTTGTGTACGTCTTCGCTACATCTGAAATAAAATAACAGTAGCTTTTAACTTTTAATTGTTGCTATGAAGTTGGAGATAACGATAAAAACATTACTCATAGATTGTCGTATTATTCATTGATTAATTTTAATATTTTTACCACTAACCGTGAGTTTCTGAGAGCAACTCCGCTTTTAAAACTGGTTGTTATCCCTGTTTTGTCAAAGGTAATGAAATGGAATACGATGTGTTTTTTATACAGAGATTTTGGTCTCAGAAACCAACGGTAAATTGTCTTCAATGGAGGAAGCAAAACTACTAAAAGACTGATTTTGCAGATTTAAAATATTTTTATAAAAACTTTTTTTTTCTCTTTATACAAAATTCAAAATTATGTTATGCAAATTTATGGTAAATTATACTCACCCATTTATGTTATTTCCAATTAACAAACACGACAGTCCTTTGTCCTGACGCGGGACATTCTGTCAGAATTAGACTACATCAACTTGATGGCGCCGGTTTATTAATTAAATGTTAAATTGTTACATCACGTTAAATTGTGCCGCCTACACCTTTCAACGCAATTCTTTAACAATTTTGTTACTCAGTTTTACACCTAATTTCAATACCACTAAAGCTTAGTTTAGTATGGATAGCTGATTAGTTTTACTACACTAAAATTTCATTGATTAAAACTCTGAGGGTAAAACTACGTTCATTGAGATTATATTTAAATACATAAGGAGATAAGGGAAAAGACTTACTGCCACACTCGGAGTACTAATGGTGTTTAAAGGAGACCCTATAGCCCTAAAGTCTTTACGAGAGTCTTTTAAGTGGACTACATAAAGACTTTGAGTGCGGAAAATAGTCCTAACTCCTAATGTTCCTATGTACTACTGATAATGTTCAAATAAAACACTTTTTTTATTATTAAATAGATTTTTTAAAGTTCTTAAAACGGTACATTATGACTTACTTAACATTATTTAAAACGGTAAAATTATTTTTATTCTGAGTTATTTTTCAACAACATATTATTGACGTAGTATTTTACAATTACAAAATCATTTTTTTTTTCATTAAAATTTGAATACATTCCTTTTCTTTGACTGCCAGGGATAGCCAGGAGCTATTGGCTCCATGACATGCCGCTCCACTGTAACACAAATATATTTTTTTAATGTGTAACTGATATCAAACATACCAAAAAATATTTGGTTGGATGAATGTTGCATCTCGGTAACACCAAACTTTCAAACGAATCTGAATCATATTCTTCTTTTTAGCCCAATAATATACGTTTCCCATATTTTTTTGGCTTTTTAATTTAGCTCAGCTGAAGTCTAAATATAAAAGCCAATGAAATAAAAATTAATGACGTCATCTTACCCGTTGGCTCTTCAATGGAGAAATCATCAGAACATTTATCTTCGCACTCCTCTCTTTCAAATGTGTCGTAATGAAGCTTACAGAATCTCGGCACTTCCTTCGTCACTTTGTGTTTGACCTAAACATAGCGAATACTAGTACGAATAGTAGATATTAAAATAAAGATATGACAATAAAAATAAAAACAAACCAATTTAGCAGGTAAATAAGATCGAGAAAGTTTAAAATAAACCTTACATGGGGGTCATACTTCTCCACAGCGACTCCGTCCACTAAATGGTACCTCTCTCGCCATCTATAGCCGACGATTTGACCGTCGATACATTCCCCTTCGCATTCGCTCCACTCCTGCCACTGCGACATCGGACAATCCTCCGGGGATTCTGGGTCCGTCACTATCGGTGTCTCACTATCATAGAAAGATCATACGTTTTAGACCAGAGACTCACAAAATTATTCGTAACCTCATTCAAAACTTTAATGATTTTGATGAACTGCTCTTCAATAGCGGCGTTAGAGAAGGGCAAGGAGGGGCGATCAACCATAGAGCCGGGCATAAGGGGGCGCCGCAGTTGCCAGAGTCAAATTCAGAGGGACGCCTGTGGCGCCCCTTAAAGTATCTTATATTTGGAAGATTTCCCCTCGACACCAAAAAAGGGGCGCCGCAAAAAACTTAACCCATCACTGGTTACCAATCAATCGCTTACCAAGAGATATAGTCTGATCTGATCTGAGTGTTATACGGTTTAGGTCCATCTCTGATATCATGAATGATGAAATGAACGTTACGTAAGTTATCAAGTAAGCCTCACCGGGCGCGCTCGCCGCTACCTAGCTGTGTGTTTTGGTACCTGGAAGGCGCATCGGGCTCCGACGGACTTGGCTCTTCTGTATCCGCCTCTGTTTCCGTCGTCGTCACCTCTGTTGTTGTTGACGATACTTCTTCTGTTAGAACCAAAGAGATATAAACACATACATAAACATAGAGCGGACAATCGAAACATTTAACAATTTCCCTAAAAACACTTTGAGTTACTGCAAGCCACTTCACTTGCGACCGTGTACAACTTATTACCTAGTGATAACAAGTTGTGCATCTATTTGTCCAATGTCTTTGGTTAAAACAAATATAATAGTTAGGATAATAATGTTTTATGAACATTACCCGTAGTAGACTTTTCCTCTTCTGTTACGGTAGTTTCATCTTTGCCCTCCTCCTCACAATCCTTATGGTAAGTTCGCACCAGTTTGATCCTCAGTCTCCCGAAAGGGTGCAATTCTTTCATATCCGTTTCGTAAAACGGTGAATCCTTGTCGAATGAACTCATCTGTACTCGGGATATCACATCTTGGGGAAACGTTGCGATATTCATTGACTGTAAATAAGTTAAGCTGACATGAAATTAAAAAAATATATCGTTAGGGGATTTTTGAAAATAAAAGGTCTACTAATAAATTTCCAACTTTTTCCATACAACCCTTTTTCGTAAATTGTCAATTGACTTCACATTTTATGAAAACGACTTTTGGTTCCCGGATAAATCATAGTAAAATCTAAGTAATACATAGAGCGGCGAATTGAAATAATATAGCATTTTAAAATAATTGTATTATTATAAAATACTAGCTATCGCCCGCAATTACGTCCGCACGGGATTAAGAAAAAAACGTAATTAGTAGCCTACATGTCATTTGTAGCCTTCTAGGCTATGTTCTGCATCTGTTACAATTCAAAATTTCAGCGAGATCCGTGCAGTCGGTCTGGAGATACTTTCAAACAAACATCCATTCATCCATCATCCAAACATTTGCATTTATAATATTAGTAAGATTATTGTTTGGACAGCTTAGAAGAAGCCTTCTGACAGTTATGATTTCAATTACCTCATAAGATACACCACTATCAGTTCCCGCATCCCATGGGAACAAATTGAGTTCCCTTTCTTTGACCCACGTGTTGTCATTCTGGCAGAGTTCAAACCGCGTCACGCCAAGGAACCAATCAGGAGAGGGATGGACACCGACAGCGACACTGATCAAGTGGTACCTCTTGTCAGCCCGGATGAATGCGTATGTCGGATTATTCATCTTTGGATAACCGTGGCCTTTGCCTTTTACCATTGTGCGGACACAACTGCCAATCTATAATCATTGATGGTTTTGTAATGAAAATTATATTTTAAATGTAAGTTTACCTAGATGTTACGGTGTTTAGATTCTTTTTAAATTATAAAAAAGGCGTAGTTCCAATGAAAACGAATAAAAGACAAATCGACTAACTTGTTCACGAATTTCCCCTTCAAATCTGCTTGTATTGGCATGTTCCGCCAGTTCTTTGAAGCCGTCGGAAGCGAGAGCGCCGGGTGCCCACAGCGTGCAGTCAATAGCATGAGACGCTCCCACAAGGTCACTGTACCGAGGCTCCCAATCCTTTTCAGGATATAAACGAGGATGTGTGTTCCGAGACCAGATGCCTGTGAACGCTATCTGTGAAGTCAATGGATAACTGTAGCTCTTCTTTGAAAACTATAAAAGTGATTGGCAGGCAACATGCGTAATCGAGTACCTCGTATTTAGCTTCGTCACAGATCTGGCAGTCGTAGTTAAGCTGTGGTGTGACGTCATCCGGCTGCCTCATGTCTTCACAAAGCCGCTGTGTTAACGGCGGACCGTCTTCGAACCACACCTCGTCTGTTTCTACTACCATAGCGCGTAAAGTGACACAGCCATTGCCTGATTCGGGAGCTTGCCAATATACCTGTTAAGGATTGTGTTAATAATTAGCTGATCAAAAAGAAAGTCCAACATCAATTTTCGAACATAAATATATGAATTTTAAACGAAATTTATTTCCTACTATGTATTCCGAAAATATAACTCGGTGACGTCACAATAGACTTAAACTGACTGGCCAATTAAATTGACTCTACGCTTGAAAAAAAAACAAGCAGAAACGTTACCTCGACAGATGTTTTGGGCGACGCTATAGCATGTTCAACGGAATACAAACATCGGTCGCTAAATTTCGCAGAAATCAAGTCTTGTGGTCGGAGATGACCTGGGAAGAAAGCTATCGTGCGTCTAGGATTACTTGGATCAGGTTTAGTGGCGCCGTCTGCTGATATCATGAACCCAGTGAACCTTGACCCACCATCAGTTGATGTTATTTGAACTGCAAGAGAATGATCATTAATTGTTAGTTTCCTTTTGTATTACTTTATTTCCTTCCATGGTCTTCTAGATCTTTTCAGAGGGATCGACTTTAGTGTCCTTTTTTCAGAAATAACATTTTACTATAAATGAATAATAAGGTTACAGACCTGTATATAACTGATCAGGCATGTAAGTATCTTCAGCACCGATCACTGTAAGTTTGAATCTCCCATCAGCCGCTGAAGGTTTGGTAATAGATCCGTATGGCCGTCGGTCGCAGCGAAATCCAAATACTTCACTTTTTAGTAGGAGGAATAAACCAAGAAATATAATGCTATTCATTGTTTTCCCAGTTTATTAAAGTTTTTATATTATTATTACTACAGAACTTAGACGTTCTACTTGCTAAAACTGTGATGCTGCAATGGAAGCTTCTTTTTGTTTAAGTTAACAAGAAGTATTTATCTAGATCAAGACAATAAATTAAAAGGTATCTCGTTTCTGTCCTAATTTATTAGTTGATTGATTAGACCTTAGGTCTTAAGACTAAATTAGCGTCTCATATATCGTCTTTACAATGGATTCGCTGTACATATTTAATGACAATAAAAACGAATTGAATCCCTGGTAAACAACAGTGGTTTGTGTAGCGAACCAAGTTATTTGGTTTTTATTTTATAAATATTTTCACAAAAGGAAAGCTTGATAAGCGTGATTATACGGCTATATACTTCTAGCCGTATCAAGCTAGAAGTTTATAGCCGTATAATCACGCCCTCACTTAACTTTTCCAGTGGGGGACATATTCTGTCTTTTAAAGACGAGGGTAGACGGAATACAACATTTTTTTTATTTTTAGAGAATTTTCATTTTATTAATGATCGTGACTGTAAATTTCTCGTTGTCATAGGATTTTGAACGAAAAACTT